CCTAAATCGATCACCCAGTGAGTGAGGGATTGCATCACAACCTTTCCAACTGAACCCACATCACCCCCACTCCCTTGCACATCCGCAACCATGAGGAACATCCCAGGGTCGGCTTTACCTTGTGCACCTGAACCTTGCACAGCGCCACCTCACGCGCGTTCATCACTTGGCGGCTTTATGCCTGGAGGCGCCCATCCCTCAGGCCAGCTGAAACACTTGAACCATGGGTGTCCAGCCTTCTTGCAGTACCAGCACACACCCTCCATTCGGGTGCTCCCCCTGCCACCAGAGCTCCCATGCCCCTCATTATAGTCACTCCGGCCTCTCCCTCTGCCAAAGCCTCTCCCACGACCTCGGCCTCTCCATCCCCCTCTTCCTCTGCTGCCTCCTGCAGCTCCATACCCCTCAGCAGTTTTGTTGGCAGCACCACCTCCCGTGTGGCGCCTGCGGAAGTCCTCTTGCAGGATCTGCTACCGTAACCATTCAGGCGTCCACTTGTCCTGCTGAACGTTGAGGGTGGGGATGAGATTGTCCCACGAGTTGTCGAGCACTGAGATGATCTCGGTGCATTGCTGCATCTGCGACACCTCGCTGCCCGTCGCTGCCATCCTCGCATATGTGTCCTTGATCTTGTCAATGACCGGTTTCACATCATCTCCCGATTGCATAAAGATGGCCGCCAGCTCCTTCTCGAGCACGATCACCATGGGCAGCGTGTTGGGCTGAATCACATCATGCAGTAGCTTCCACGCATTTGGACCAGAGTCGTCTAACTCAACCAAGTCCTTGATGTGCTGGAACATTTCGTTGTTGACCGATTGCAAGATGAGGTCGAACAACACCGCGCTCCGCTCGATCCACCGCTCCCGAGCATCTCCTTCCTCGGGCATTTTCTCTTCTCCCATCGCAAGTTTGAGCAGCTTGTAGCGCTTGAAGACGCTCCTCATCCGCCCGCTTCATTCCTCGTAGTTGGAGCCATCCAACGCCTCAATCTTGGATGGTGGGGGCTCACTCTTCTCAGCTGCTTCTCCACTCCCTTGACTCATCTCCTCTGCTCCCAATCAAAGGTTTGAGCTCCCCCCTTTGCTGTCCACACCGAAGTCCCACAATATTTTCACAAGTGTCGGCGCCAACAAAATTTCGGCAGAGTTTCCCCTTAGCGGAAATCACATGCAACTTCCAGAACTCCACTTAGGCACGGCCACACGCCATTGTGGGTCTAGGAGGGTCTTCATACTTCAGTAGACTCCCCACAAGGTCCTTAACCAGCTCTGATACCACTTGTTAGATACTAAGGACGGAGTCTATGAAGATTAGGTGCCTAAATTTCTCAAAATCGTTGGGCCTAGTTTCTGGACAGAAAAGTCGAGTTCAAAAGAAACGTCATCCACGAAAAACGCACTGTTAAAACTTCACCAAATTTGGATATGTTGTAGCCCTAGAGCGTAGCTACAATTCCCAAGTTGAATCGTATCAAACAGTGAAGTATTTCTCGACTTATCAATTTCGGCGCACAGGGCGGTAGGTATGCTGTCATAGGAACTTAAAGCCCAAGACCTGGATTACTCAACGGAAGTCAATGCTAAAAACTAGATTCGGGAGGCAGACACGGAGAGGTTCAGTTGGGTTGCGAGAGACTTTTACTCGCAAAACCAATTTGCGACAAAAGTTTCTCGCTTCCCATGATGGGTGGGGTCCTTCCCACAACCAGAAATGCACGTGCATACCAAATTGTGCACAGTTTGAGATAGCACACAGAGTATTGGGGCGTGTGTGATTCTAATTCGAGTTCGTTAACGGGTTCGAACTTATGGTGGTAACCAGTTTCGTGAATGTTCGTGAATTCTTTCGCCGAAGCTGGGTTCAAACTGCTTCTCACCAAACTCGAACCCCCCAAAGTAAACTCGATTCAAAAATATGATCAAACGTGGTTTTGCACGTTGAAGTGAACGTGTGTGGTTTCAGGCACGTACGAGGAGTGCGCGAAACTCGCAAAACGTTCGTGCACCAATAGATGCACGACCGAAACCAGAAGCATACACATTCTATCAAAGCCCACCACGTGGAATATGTCGTGGCACGATGACGTGCCGATTCTGCGTTTGACCAGAAGTTGGCGCTCCGGCTGCGAAATTCGCGCCAACAAGGTTGACACGGCTTCAGTCCAGGGGGTGACGATGAGGTGGAGGTCTAGAGAGCAATTTTGGCAATTGCGATTCGTTGACGTGTCGTGCTGTCAAGATGCCGATACTTGGTAACCTACACATCCTAGTCGCGGTTCGGTTCTCCCCCTACAAGTTAGAACTTGCAAATTCGCACTTGCGCGTGTGATTGTGAGTTCTTGACTTTTGATACCGGCGGTTCGAACCTGCAAGCACTCAAAATCGAGTCAGGCTCGCTTGGTGTTCACTTGCTACAATCGAGTCAAAAACATAAACTTAAAGCTCGCGGCCCAAATTGTTCAACCTTAGTAAGGTTGACCTTTGGGTGGTGGGAGAAGAAGTTGACTTGTTGGGAGTTGGGCTGTTTCCTTTCGCCCAGTTTCGCGCTAGACCCTTGGGGTTTTCGTTGACACGGCAAACCCCTGGGAGCAACCTGGGTTTGCTTCGAGAGTCCCAAATTGCAATCAACATATTGTTGTTCCCTGCTCTCCCATTCGACAAAAAAAAACTGGCCAATCAGATTGCATCTCACTTCTCGTAACCACCCTTCGTAACCCAAACAACACTCAAAACATCACCCCCGTCAACCTTAGTAAGCTTGGCCAGCGCGCCCCGCAATTTGGGCCGCGAGCTTTAAGGTAAAAACTGGATTCACACACGCCCTTAGGCATAGACCATACCTGAGGGCAGGGCGTCGGCGTTCACTCAAAAGGAATCAGATGCGCCTTACGATGTGGGTGGCGCGGATTTCGATGATGACGCGCAAAGCTAGGGTTTGCTGGGTGAAGGTTTTTGTGTCGAAATGCATTATGGTGTGCAACTACTGCGTAGCGTAAACTCACGGCGAAAATCGAATATGGAACCGTTCGCCCAAGCGTGACCCTCCCCTCGCCCTCGCTTTCATTTCCCTAGGTCCCACGCTTCCGCTCTCTGTCGCCCGCGTCATCGCCATCGCTTCCGCAGCTCGTCGCGTTCGCGACCCCAGCTCGTCGCCTTCGCTCCGCCCGTCGCCTTCACTCCCCCCCCCCCTCCTCCCCCCCCTTCCGTTGCCTTCATTTCCCCCTCTCGTTGCCTTCACTTTCCCCCCTCCCGTCGCCTTCACTTCCCCTTCCCGTCACCTTCACTACCCCTTCCCCTCGCCTTCACTTCTCCCCCCCGTCGCCTTCACTTCCCCCTCTTGTCGCCTTCACTTCCCCCTCCCCGTCGCCTTCCCTTCCCCTCCCGTCTCCTTCATTTCCCCCTCCCGTCGCCTTCACTTCCCCTTCCCGTCGCCTTCACTTCCCCCTCCCCGTCGCCTTCCCTTCCCCTCCCGTCTCCTTCATTTCCCCCTCCCGTCGCCTTCACTTCCCCTCCCGTCGCCTTCACTTCCCCTCCCGTCGCCTTCACTCCCCCCTCCCGTCGCCTTCACTCCCCCCTTCCATCGCCTTCACTTCCCCTCCCGTCGCCTTCACTTCCCCTCCCGTCGCCTTCACTCCCCCCTTCCGTCGCCTTCAATTCCCCCTTCCGTCGCCTTCAATTCCCCCTTCCGTCGCCTTCAATTCCCCCTTCCATCGCCTTCACTTCTCCCCCCCGATGCCTTCGATTCCCCCTCCCGTCGCCTTCCCCGGATGCCGCACTCACTTTCCCGCCCGTCACACTCGCTTCCCCACCCGTCGCCTTCACTTCCCCTCCCATTGCCTTTCACTCTCTGCTGCTCACTCTCTTTCCCCCTGTTCACTCTCTTTCCCCCTGCTCACTCTCTCCTCTCCTGTTCACCCCCTGTTCTCACCCCTCTTCCCCCCTTCACTCAACCGTTCCCCCCTGCTCAACCTCTTTCCCTCCGCTCACTCTCTTCCCCCCCCCCCCCTCACTCTTTCCCCCTGCTCATCGCTTCCCCCCCCCCCTCACTCTCTTTCCCCCTGCTCACTCGCTTCCCCCCTCCTCAATCTCTTTCCCCTGCTCATTCTCTTTCCCTCTGCTCACTCCCCTTGTTCTCACCCCACTTTCCCCAATTCTCACCCATTTTCCCCGTTCACGCTCTCTTACCCCCTCTGCTCGCCCCTGTTTTCCCGGCTCACTCCTATACTCACTCTCTCCCTCCCTGCTCACTCTCTCCCTCCCTGCTCACTCTCTTCCCCCCTGCTTACTCTCTTTCCCCCCTGCTCACTTTCTTTCCCCCTGTTCTCATCCCTCTGTCCCCCTTTCTCACCCATGTCCCCCCTGCTCGGTCTATTTCCCCCTGTGCTCGCCCCTAAAATCTCCTGCTCACTCCCTTACCCCTTGTTCACTCTCTCCCCCTCTGGTCACTCTCTTTCCACCCTGTTTACTCTCTTCCCCGCTTTGCTCACTCCTCTGCCTAACTCCTCCCATACATGCCCTCCACCTTCACCCCTCGCTTATTCTGCCATATCCCCTCTTCTCTCCCCGTTCCATACAGAACCATGCTTGTACATGTGCCAGCACCATGTGTGTCAACAGGAGTGGGTTGAAAGGTTACCACCTCCAAGCTTTGTGCTTGTGCTTATAGTCTTGTCTTGGCAACATAAATGGAACATTATTTTGCTTTGTTGCACTTTTTCATAATGCTCCAAGTCACGATGTGGTGTATTATGAGACGCATCCAACCAACGTCAATAACGGTACATGGCATGGCTATTGTAGGCGACTAATATTATCAAACCCTATACTCAACACAACTGGATGCATGGCAGACCTGCAAAGACACGAACCACAAACTCTGATGCATGGTGGGGAACAAAGAATGCACGGAGGCAGAAAATGAGCAAGGGAGACACGGAGGAAGGGTGGAAGGGTGAGCAAGATGAAGCGTGGGTAGGGGAGAGAGGGCGGGGAAAGGCACTAAGGCAGAAACGTGGGCGACGGTGAGAGGATGGGCGGATGAGATGATGGGCGGATGAGAGGATGGGCGGATGAGATGATGGGCGGATGAGAGGATGGGCGGATGAGATGATGGGCGGATGAGATGATGGGCGGATGAGAGGATGGGCGGATGAGAGGATGGGCGGATGAGATGATGGGCGGATGAGAGGATGGGCGGATGAGAGGATGGGCGGATGAGAGGATGGGCGGATGGAGAGGATGGGCGGATGAGATGATGGGCAGATGAGAGGATGGGCGGATGAGATGATGGGCGGATGAGAGGATGGGCGGATGAGAGGATGGGTGGATGCGAGGATGGGCGGATGAGAGGATGGGCGGATGAGAGGATGGGCGGATGAGATGATGGGCGGATGAGAGGATGGGCGGATGAGATGATGGGCGGATGGGAGGATGGGCGGATGAGAGGATGGTTGGATGCGAGGATGGGCGGATGGGCGGATGAGAGGACGGGCGGATGAGAGGATGGGCGGATGAGAGGATGGGCGGATGAGAGGATGGGCGGATGCGAGGTTGGGCGGATGAGAGGATGGGCAGATGAGAGGATGGGCGGATGAGCTGATGGGCGGATGAGAGGATGGGCGGATGAGATGATGGGCGGATGAGATGATGGGCGGATGAGAGGATGGGCGGATGAGAGGATGGGCGGATGCGAGGATGTGCGGATGAGAGGATGGGCGGATGAGATGATGGGCGGATGAGATGATGGGCGGATGAGATGATGGGCGGATGAGAGGATGGGCGGATAAGAGGATGGGCGGATGAGAGGATGGGCGGATAAGATGATGGGCGGATGAGATGATGGGCGGATTGATGATGGGCGGATGAGAGGAAAAAGTGCGGCAGGGTACAAGGGGGAAGGTAGAAGGGTGGAACGGAGGAGCAGGGTTGGCGTGAGGAAGGGAGTGGGAGAGTGGGAGATGGAAGGGGGACGGGGGGCTGGATTGATGGAGGATGAGGAGAGGAAGAATGGCAGGAAGGAAGGATGGGAGGAAGGGAGGACGGGCAACAGAGAGGGTAAAGAGGGTAGTGAGGCAGAGAGATGGAGGAAGGGAGGAAGGGAGAGGGAGAGGAGGACGACTGTGGGGGAACGACGGAACGGAGTAAGGGAGGAGGGCAGGAGGTAAAAGTGTGGCAGGGTATAAGGGTGGAACGGGGGATAGGAGGATCCCTGCACCCTCTCTCCCTAACCCCCGCCTCCCCTGCCCCGCCTCCCCCGCTCCCCTGACCCGCCCCCTGCAGCACTGCACTCCTTGCTGCCCGCCTGCACGCGCCTGTGGGGCTGTGCGCCAAACACTCTGCTCCAAAGCCGCACCACCACCTGCCATGCGTGTGGGGTTGGTGCGAGAGAGAAGAGGAGGTCAGAGCAAGAGAGAGAAGGGTGGGTGATGCTGACCACGCACCCTTCCACACCCCACAGCGAATGAGTCACGACCCCTTCTCCAGCTCCCAGCCCAGCCCGCCATACCTCCCCGCCCAGGGTGGGTGAGAGGCTGATGGGGAGGGAGAATGAGAGAGAAGGAAATAAGGGTGCAAGGGTGGGGTGGTAACCATGGGCGATGGTAGGAGTAGAGGAGGTGGTAATGGGGAGAGCGTGAGCGACCTAACGAGGCAATGGGGAAGGGATACAACGACGACCCTAAATGCGATGGGAAGGGATGAGAGGGTGGGCGGCATGGGTGGAGACGCGATGGTGAAGAGGGGGAACGTGATAGGCAGGGGAGTGATGACGCCGTGGAGAGAGGTGGGAGAGAAGGGAGGTCGGCGGGAAGGCTAACCGAGGGCGATGGGAGGGCAAGTGTGGGCGACAGTGGCGGTGGGCGACGGTGGCGGTGGGCGACGGTGGGGGGAAGCGTGGGCGACGTTGGGGGGAAGCGTGGGCGATGGTGGGGGGAAGCGTGGGCGACGTTGGGGGGAAGCGTGGGCGACGGTGGGGGGTAGCGTGGGCGACGGTGGGGGGAAGCGTGGGCGTCGGTGGGGGGAAGCGTGGGCGACGGTAGGAGGAACCGTGGGCAATGAGCGCGGATTTTGTGAGGGAAGGTGGGGAAAGGCATGAGCGACGGTGTGGGGAAGCGTGGGGGGCAAGAGGAAGCGTGAGCGGCGGTAAGGGGAAGCGTGAGCGACGGTGGGGGAAAGTGTGGGCGACGGTGAGCGGAAGCGTGGGCGCGTGCGTGGGGAGGTGTGTGAGAGACGGTGGGGAGAAGCGTGGGGGACGCGGAAGGCGATAGGTCCAAATGCGATGTCTGGGGATGGGCTAGGACTAAAGGTGTTAATGCTCATGGCCTATGCTTTAGTGGCTTTTTATTCTATCTCTTCGCATGATCTAATCGCTTCGCATAGTATGGAAATCGCACGACCTGAATTACCAAAGAAGGCAAACTGTGCACATTTTGAGCCCTTGTTCCTTCAGGAGGGTGTGGTTGGGACTCTCGCCAACCAAACCCGTTCTGCTCTACGACACTCTCTTTGTTGGGGCTTTGTTTTCTGGTAACCAGCCTGGCTCGGGAGGTCAACTGTGGGTTCGGTAGGCAAACTGTGCACAGTTTGCCTTCCTTTTTTTGTAATTCAGGTCTTGGGCTTTAACTCAATCACAAGAGTCTCACAAGTTCCACAATTACTACACAAGAGAGTTAGAGTAGCAATAAACCAGGTGGGAGGGGAAGAGGAGGACGAGGGGGGAGGTCCCCAAGGAGTCCCCAACCAAGGAAACCCCATAAGCACACCAAATCCCTTCCCTATAGGAACCTCATTTTAACCTTTGTCCATTTCCCAACCTCCACAATCCACCTCACCCAAGTTGGCCATACTTGCCAACCCAATTTGGTTTCTCCCAACCACTTGGCAGCATCTACAGTGATGGGGACGAATTTCCCAACCCCCAAAAGTCTGTACCCCATATTGAGTCACTTCACAACTTCCCAAAGTCGTCGCAACACAAACAAATCTTTGAATGCTCACAACTTCCTCGTTCTTGCTCCGATCGCTACGATTCTTGGTTTGTCGAAAAGCTCTTGAGCAGAGGAGTCACTTCAAATATCTGCTCAAGCCAGATAACATTCACACACACTCAGGAAAACCAAACCACATCAAACACAAATTCTTGCATACGATCACACCACGCATGCAACGCACGAACATATGATGGGAGGCAGACAGACGTGAATGCAAGTGATAGCATCACATAACATTATCTCCCTATACCCCTTCTCACCCCCTCCTTGCCCCTTCCCTACGTGCATTTCCTGAGCATGCCCCTTGTGGGAATGTATGGGAGCAGCTAGAAGATTGTGAAATCCATGCTTCGTATGCTGCACTCTTCCATCAAGGCTGTGTTAAGAACAAAGAGTGACTAGAATGAGGGAACATAGGGGTACATATAGGAAACTCTAGCATGTTTAGTATAAAGTACATACCAAACATGTTAAGATACTAAGCATGAGTAGGCTTAGGAGCCATAGGTTTAGTAGCTTAGTGATCGAGTTCGAGGGTAAGGAGAAGTGTCGAGAAAGTTGAGGGGGAATGATGTTCACTATAGCACAAGAGTACATATAGCAAACAGAGCATGCAAGGTGCACCACCAACTAGAAAGCTATATGACTACAGTATTCTACACTACAGGCAGTTATAGAACAATATATAGAATTATATATTAGTCTGACACGCCCCCATAAGTGCCTGTAGGGAAGAATGTGCAGTCAACGCCCCCTGAAGGGGTACACCAAGCGCAGGAGAAGGAGAGGGGAAGTGAGGAGGAGGAGGGACTGTGACAGGAGAGGAGATGGGAGGCGACGGCGGAAGCGGCAGACACACGGCGCAACTGGAGCAACTGGCACACGGGCAACTGGAGCAACAGGCACACTGGCAACTGGAGCAACTGGCACACGGGCAACTGGAGTAACTGGCTCCGCGGCTAGACGAGCGGCAGGAGCAACTGACCCACGGGCTACTGGAGCAACGGGCTCACTGGCGACTGGAGCTACGGGCTCACGGGCGACTGGCGCAACGGTCTCACGGGCGACTGGAGCTGTTGGCTTCACAGCGGCCACCTCCACTCAACCTCCCCCACCTGTCCCACACTCATCACCCCCACACCCGCCACCCCCATACCCATCACCCCCACACCCACCACCCCCATACCCACCCCCCCACGGCTGCACCGGGTCCAGGAGCGGCTGCTGCAGTGGCGGCTGCTCCAGGGGCGGCTGCTCCAGGGGCGGCTGCTCCAGGGGCCGGGGGCGGTTCCTGCAGTGGCGGCTGCTCCAGTGGCCAGGGGCGGCTGCTGCAGGGGCGGCTGCTCCAGGGGCCAGGGGCGGCTGCAGGTGCGGCTGCTCCAGGGGCCAGGGGCGGCTGCTGCAGTGGCGGCTGCTCCAGAGGCCAGGGGCGGCTGCTGCAGGGGCGGCTGCTCTAGGGGCGCCTGCTCCAGAGGCCAGGGGCGGCTGCTGCAGGGGCGGCTGCTCCAGGGGCGGCTGCTGCAGTGGCGGCTGCTGCAGGGGCGGCTGCAGTTGCAAGGCAGGCCCGCGCGCTGTTGCAAAGCAGGCGCGGGCACAGGGGAGGCAGAGGCGGCGGCCAGGGGGGGGGGGGGGGGGGGGGGGGGCGACGAGCAGGTGACGGGGCCACTAGGGGCGGCAACGAAGCCGAGAAGGGGCGGCGACAGGGCCGCGAAGGGGCCGCGAGGGGCCGAGAAGGGCGGCGACGGGGCCGCTAGGAGTGGCGACAGGGCCGATAGGGGCGGCGACAGGGCCGCGAAGTGTGGCGACGGGGCCGCTAAGGGTGGCGCGAGGGGCCGTGAGAGGAGCAGCGACGGGGCCGCGAAGAGGCCGTGAGGGGCCAAGAAGGGCGGCGACGGGGCCGCTAGGAGTGGCGACAGGGCCGATAGGGGCGGCGACAGGGCCGCGAAGTGTGGCGACGGGGCCGCTAAGGGTGGCGCGAGGGGCCGTGAGAGGAGCAGCGACGGGGCCGCGAAGAGGCCGTGAGGGGCCGAGAAGGCCGGCGACGGGGCAGGAAGACGCCGCTCGCCCGAGGCGAATGGCGGGCGGAAAACCGCCACGCGCCCCGAGCGCGTGGCGGGAAGAAAAAGGTGTCGCGCGCCACGGGGCGCGCGACAGACAGGAAAGCAGCGGAAGCACGTGGGGCCCACAGGCCAAGAGCGTAGTCGCTCTGATACCATGTTAAGATACTAAGCATGAGTAGGCTTAGGAGCCATAGGTTTAGTAGCTTAGTGATCGAGTTCGAGGGTAAGGAGAAGTGTCGAGAAAGTTGAGAGGGGGAATGATGTTCACTATAGCACAAGAGTACATATAGCAAACAGAGCATGCAAGGTGCACCACCAACTAGAAAGTTATATGACTACAGTATTCTACACTACAGGCAGTTATAGAACAATATATAGAATTATATATTAGTCTGACACGCCCCCATAAGTGCCTGTAGGGAAGAATGTGCAGTCAACGCCCCGTGAAGGGGTACACCAAGCGCAGGAGAAGGAGAGGGGAAGTGAGGAGGAGGAGGGACTGTGACAGGAGAGGAGATGGGAGGCGACGACGGAAGCGGCAGACACACGGCGCAACTGGAGCAACTGGCACACGGGCAACTGGAGCAACAGGCACACTGGCAACTGGAGCAACTGGAGTGCGCCCATAACCCCCCAGGCGAACGCGCCTGTAACCCTCTCCAGGATCAATCGGGCATCCACTGTGCAGATCTACTGACACCCCCCCACACTGGGAGGCCCAGGACTAAGCACAGCGGCAACGGCCTACATGTGCATACACCGGGAATTGAACCCGAGACCGCTCTGATACCATGTCAGAATCCCAACCACTAGACAATTGGGATAAAAGGGCTTGTTTCAGTAGTGGGTCAGTGCGCCCATAACCCCCCAGGCGAACGCGCCTGTAACCCTCTCCAGGATCAATCGGGCATCCACAGTGCAGATCTACTGACAAAACATACCAAACTGTACACCCAGCAATGTATGTATAGTTTGACACACCCGCTAGGCTAGTTAAGGGGCAGTGCCTAAAAAACATGAAGCAACTCATGGCGGCACTACTACTGTAGCCTCTGAGACAAGTGGCTACAAGGCGAATCAGCAAATGCTGCGGAGATAGCTAGTACAACGGGAGCTAGATTACGGGCTAGGCACGGATGCTCATGTGATCTCTGCGTTCGTTGTTCCTTTGTCGTTTTCCTAGTGCACATACTGCTTGCTAGTTCACGGGGCAAATTGGCAATAGTTTCACTAGAGAAAGTTGACAACAATGGTACAAAGAAGTTGACATGACAGGACTACATCAGAGTTAGCATTCAGGTCGGTCGACTTCCACTGAAGCACGGTCGACCGCGCTCCAGCAGTGCAAAGTCGACGGCATGCCAATGCTGCAGGTCGACGGCGTGCCAGCGTTGCTCCCGAAGTACAGCATCGCAGGTGCTTGCAGAGGATTGGGGTGCTGAGCCTTATCACCTGCACAACGCACCCACCATATCATCCTCGCGCTGACGACTGTACCTGATCCTCCACGTCGACCTCGGGATACCACCACCAAGGTCGGTCTCGCCAACATCGCCTGGGCGACCGTCTCATTCCTCCGCAGAACCTCGTCACCCAGGTAACTGGGTCGAACAGGTAACCACGTCGACCAGCTGCTCCTGTATGTGCCCGTCGACCTCCCAAGTCG